GAGTGGGCGCCAACACCACACACTTCGGCCCCCTTTGCACGCCTTCCCTCGCGATCCGTACAAAAGCGGGCAAAACATAGCACAACGTCTTCCCGGAGCCCGTCTGCGCCACTCCCACCATATCCCTCCCCAACAGCACTATAGGCCAGCCCTGGCTCTGGATGGGTGTGGGGGCCGAGTGGCCGTCCGATTGGAGCGCCTGTTGGATGGCTGGCGGCCACGAGAAGCCATTCATGTCGAGCACTGGCAACGGGGCGTCCCTTCCGTGCACTGCGATGTCGTGTTTGAGCCAAAACTCGCGGATACGACTGTCCACTCCTTTCGTCTCATTCATGATTGAAGTGTTGAATTGGTTGAGCACTTGGAGGTCGGGGCCGGAGGTCTGCATCATATGATAGGAGACAAGCAATGAGTGAATCAATCGGACAATCGATGCAATCAATGACTGCTTCGAACCAATCACTCGTTCACTGAAAGCGCGAGAAAGCAGTCGAAAGCGACAGTCAATGCATTCAGCGCTCAGTCTGTGCGCCAATCACTGCCTTACAGTTGGCTTACAGTGAGTGACACAACAGACAGATATGACTTACAGTGCCGTCAGTGCCACGAGTGGTGTCCGACACACTGTCCGACACACTGTCCATCACTTTGTTGGGCTCCACGTCTTCACACCACTCCACATCACTTCGGGACGTGTCTGAAGACATATCTGTGCAGACAATGGCCATCATTAGCATACAGTTATAGGCAGACAGGTGTCAAACAGTAACAAAGTATGAAAAGTACAGTACATCTCATTTGCATGCTATGAATGTTTGGTGAAATAGTTTTGATCACAAAATCATGATATTTGCGGTGATTATTGAGACCATTGTGTGATAAACACGTGAATCTAATGCAATGAATATATTTAAGTGCATTGAATGAGCGCCTTATCGTCGATGACATCATATTATCACTGATTATATGACAACTTTTGTCCAAATTATAAGTCAAATAAAACTACAAAAACTATTAAATAGTTTATAATTTGGTATAAAAGCTGTAATTTGTAACCAAATTCAAAAACATGTCACAATATTTATCTCACGCAATGCTACTGCCATGTGTTGGGAAGGTATGTGTGGGGAACTGGATGTCAGCACCGGTATGCTAGCTATATGTTGGTCTCTGTATGTGTGAAGGGGTGAAGCAATGGATGTGCAGTACTTCGCAGTGAAGTGTTATTTCAGGCGAAATCATAATAAGAGAGAGATTTAGGGGTTTGTGTTGTGTTTGAAGGCCTCATCTCTCAGAGAGAGAGAGAGAGAGAGAGAGAGAGAGAGAGAGAGACTCTCATCATAAGTGTTGGCTCTATATGTGTGTTATATAAGTGTAGAGCATATGAGACATAACTAATCAAAAGTATATTTGCCTCAAACTATTCATTCGTTTGCAAATCATTTGCAACGCTATCCTTAAGACTAAGAATAATATAATTAATTAAATTCTCTCTCTTATGATAACTATTATAAGTAATGGTTATCTAATAATTTAATGGCATAGGCTTTATGACTGAAATGGCATCTCTGGCCGTGTTTTATGCTATAATTGCAATCATTTTCACTTTATTTGAAAACTTTAAATAATTATCTCTTCAATCGCTTAATTAGAATAAGAATTAGAGAGAAAAGCATTTGTTGTATAGAATTGTTATCTATTTTGTATGGAGTGTGTGTTGAGCCATACATAGAGAATATTCTGTATTCTGTATATATATGTCATACACTGTATGTGTGTTTAGTAGAGAAACAGTGATGTGAGAGAAGAGTGAAATGAAATGAAATACTATTTCAATAATCAGGGATTAAAGAGAACTCAAGCGACCGATAATGCAATTTCTAGTGCTTAAGGCATCAATCCATACATACAATCCTAAACTCAATCCTAATTCACAAAATACCATCAATTGAATCAACTCTCTCTCTCACATCACTGTTTCTCTACTAAACACACATACAGTGTATGACATATATATACAGAATACAGAATATTC